GTTTTGTTAGTCAGAATAATTGTTATACCACTTTACCCTTCAAACTTATTTTGAAGTAGGTGAAAAAAGTTTTTTTTTTGTTAGGCAAATATAGTCTGTCTACTTTTTTTCTCTCCCTTTTTTGTGGCCTTGCTCTTTTGCTGTGGAACGCAGTTTCGTTAATACAGAATTAGTAAATAAAATTGTTAATTGTTTATAGATATTAGCAGTTTTCCTATAGTTAAGTGAAGGACATATTAAAAAGCTTTGTATTACATTTAAAAAGGTGTTGCTTATTTACCCACAAATGTTCATCCTAGTTGTTGGGGAAATATTATTAGCTAGTAATTTGTTTCGTTTAGCCTGTTTTAGTCTGAAACCTACTACTTTCACCTTCCTGATAACCCTTACCATGGAAATATCTAGTTATTTTAAAGCTACCCATTATTTCTGTAGATGAACTGCAAAAAACTTTTTCTTTTTATAGCTCATAATTTATCACAGCAGAAAGTAGATGTAAACAGAAAATTCTTATTTGAGAAGCTAAGTTTACTTTATGAAGGAGAATGGCATTTATTTTACAGTATAATCAACTATATGGACTTTTAAAATCTGGTCCAATTTTTTTTTAGCCTGCTAATGTGAAATTGTAATTGAGCTAAGGCTATGGAGTGGGTTAGATTTTAAATATAGTTATTTCATTGGCATGGTAGACATTGATCGATGTCTTAATTTGTGTAAATGATTGTGCTGGTTGTTAAGAATATACAAAGATTAATAAATGAGCAAAGTTATTTTCATTAGAAAATGGATTTTAAGGTACTTATTAGTTTAAAAAGTCACATATGACATATTTGACATTGGAGTTCCGGTAGTATTCCTGTAGTATTAGTGAACTGGCATTTTTAATACATGGCTTACTCTTTTAACTGACATTGTGAATATTAGCCTACAGAAAAATTGAACCTTAGATCAACTGGAACTAAAATGTTTCAAGTTAGGATGCAGTTATTCCTTCCCAGTGTACCAGTTTAGAAGCTACAAGAAGTGAAAAAAGACAGAGCCTGGATTTCTAGTCTCTGTTACGATAGACCTGAGAGGGCCAAATAAATCATTTAGCTGGTAAATAGTCTGAACACATACCTTGTCAGAGAGTAGAACACCAGCAACTATGTGGGAGTTGAGGGCCAAGGTTTTATTAGTATAAGGAAGTCAGAATCATAAAACTTGACAGGCCGACCTTAATAAAAGATGGGGAGATAAGATAGAAAGAATAAGTAGGTGGGAGTAGATTAGTGATGTTATACCTATGGCATTTAATTGTAATTGTGCTTTGGTCTTCATACAACTGAAAGCTTTTTTGCCTCTCAAATGTATTGAGTACCACTAGTAAGTATTCAGATTGGCAAAGTTCAGTAGGAATTTATGCTGGTAAAATGGAGGTCTACTATCTGTTTTTGTGTTCTTAATCATTAAGAGAAGTTAGAAGTGGAGAAAGAAGTGTGCCTTCCCTAAAACAGACTCACTGAGATTAAACAAGGGAGGGAATTCCTTTTAGAATAGATACAGAACTGCCTAAACCTACATTTTGCCAGATTTGGGTGGAAGTGATTGTATAGTATATAGGGGTACCTAGATAATGCTGGATCACAGGTTTTTGTATAGTCACAGTCTGATTGTAATCAGATATGCAAATAACTTTTTATCCAAGAGTTCATGTGAATACTGTACACCAAATGATAACTGTAGATGCCAGTGAATGGAGTCTTACATTCAAGTTGCATGATGTTCTCTACTTTGTACATAAGATTTTAGACATACCTTATAGGTTTAAAGATCCCTGGTTTCCCTGAAATTGTATGCTAGATTGCAATAAACAGAGAACCAAGAATTAATTTTCTCGTAGATATTCAGTGCATTGAAATTAAGTGGTAGTATAGTTGGAGTGACTTTTTTTTTTCCACTTACTGACAAGATTTAGAGCCTTGGGGGGTTGGAGGAAAAGGAAACTACTATTTACTGAGTGCTTCCTATATGCCTGTTATCTTATAGGCACATAGATTAACTAGCTATCTGGATGATACACACCTAGATCTCTAACTCAGAGACAGTAAACTTGTCTTTCTGGGACCTGAAGTCCTGGCTTGGGAACAGTGGCATAGTCTCATGCTTTCAACAACATCCCTTTGACCTGTTTAAAGAACACCTATGTGAAGGCTACTTACAGTGTGATGAACCAGAACACAGGTGGGATGTTTCAGAAATGATGCTCCTGACAAGGTGTTTAGTCAAATGACACACTTTGGTAGCTTCAAGAAATTGGAGGACCATTTAACAGGCACTTGAATTAAAATTGAATTCTCTGAGAATTCTTGCTCTCAAAAGCACATGTTATAGTTGGAGAAGTCAAGACTTTTATATGTAAAATACTAAATAACAGCCTACGATGCTAATACATTGGTTAAAAGGTATCAGGTTGAATGGTATGGACAGACTTACGGTTTGTAGAGAAAAACACAGTAAATTGCAGGAGTATGGGAAAACTTCAAAAAGGAGGTAAAAATTGAGTTTAAAATATTAACTGAGTGCCTGATATATATATTGCATCATGCTAGATACTGCAGATGTATGGTAGAAGAGATCATTTTTTTTATGCCATCTCCATGCAGCATACATATTGCTGAGGTATTATGATCTTATTTATTGCATGTCTTCATTGCTTTTGTATTCTCCGTACTCTACATGGCAGGCACTCAGGAAATGTTTTTTGAATGCTTGATGAGCAAGATACGGTCCCTACACATAATCTAGTAGAATAAGTATACAAGTTATTTTACTACAAAGTAGAGGAAGAAGTACAAAGTTTCATGGATATGTCAAAGTCAGGAGTAATCACATACCTTAGAGAACGATCAGGAGAAGATACACAGAAGAGGTCCTGTTTGACATTGGCCATGAAGAGACTGTGGGTAAGATTGTTTTAGTAGTGTGCAGAACATCCACAACCTGGGATAGATTTGAGAATGTTCTAGTTTTTCAAGGCAAGGGAAACTATCTCTTCGAATATTCACAAGAACCCCGTGAGAAGTTAAGGGACTTGCCCAAAGTTATACAGGTAGTAAATAGTAGAGTCTGGATTAGCCTGGCTTATTTTACTTTGTAAGTGTAACTATGTGATTATCAGTTGAGAACAGCAATTTCCTTGAAATGGGGATGCTACATATTGCTTACCGAATGTCATGACCCTAGAGGACCATTTACACATAGTAGAAACTATAAATGCCAAATACACAGATTCCGAGAGGCATTATGATAGGAATTATTCATTTACTGAGTTATTTATTGAGTACCTACCATGAGAGAAGTATTCCAAGATCTAATAACAAAGTTCCTGCTTTCATGGAGCTTATAATTTAAATGGAGGAGGACAGAATAAGCATGCAGACAATTAAGTAAATAATATAATTCTGGTAATAAATACTACAAAAATTAAGTCAGATTAATGGATGAGTGAATGGGATTTTACATGGAGCAGGCAAAGAGGCAATCTCTGAGGAGGTAATATTTAAATGGAAACCTGAATGTTGAGAAGAGAAAGTCCTTGGAAAGTTCTGGGGGAATGCTCTTCAGGTACACACAACAATAAATGCAAAAGTTCTTATGAGAGGGTAAAAATGAACTTAATGTGTTAAAGGAAGAGTGAGAAGGGCCAATAGAGTGAACAAAAAAAGTAGTAGGTTAATGGTGTAGCAGGTGTCAGTCAGATCATGGAGTCTTGTAAAGATTTGATAAAGAATTTGGGTTTATTCTAAATTGAATAGGAAAGATTTTAAGATACAGTTTCAATTTTAAAAGATAACTTTGCTCTGTAAAAAATGGACTGGGTGGGGGAG